CGTCCACCGCAGGTGCCCGGCGCTCCCAGGGGCACCAGCGCGTTCGTTTTAGTCCCGAGATTGGGCAGGATCCCAAGCCAGAAAGTGGATCCTGTGGCAGCCCAGCCCAAACTAGGCACCCATATCCTTGCCAGCTGCTGGCTGGGGACAGTGGGAGCTCCTGGATGGACTCTGCTCTGTCTCGAAGGGGCAGATTGGAGCAGGGCTGGCCGGACAAACTGTGGACCCACAAAGGTCCCCTTCTTGTCCCCCATGCAAGGTGGGAATAATAGAGGAAAGGGCATCCCTGGGCCCTGGGTGTGGGGAAAGGTCCCTCTGGACAGGTCTCTTACAAACATAAGACCTTGAAATACCTTGCTTGTTCTCAGGCTTGGAGTGAAGTCGTGCCCTGCTCACATTTTCAAACCTTCCCTCTGCTCCATCAGGCTGGCAGTGTGCTTAATTCTAAGGGAAACGAAGCGCACACAAGGACTGGGCACCCACAGACTGCAAGACATGGCAGTGCTGTAATTACCATGCCTGTGCAGCAGCCAGGCTCCCCCCTTGTGCCCAGGGAGGTGCCATGGGAAGGCAGTCCACAGCCAGCCTGTGCTTCAAGTGCTCCAGCATGAGGCAGGAGCCTCTCTGCCAGGCAATGGGGAGAGCAGCTGTGGGCGTTGTGAGGCTGTCAGGAAATCCATAAAGCCTGCTGCAGTTGATTGCTATTAAATAGAGCCTCCAGGCTCTCCTTTACAGGGAGAGAGCCAGGGTTCTGCTGAAGGGAACTGCACAGGTCTCTTGTTCCTCTCCCCTCCAGCACAGCCATAGAAGATATGTAGTTGTCCATAATTCTGAGTGCATAAAATGGCTGGTGGTGTTTGCTGAAGACCCTCACGCTGTCGCTGCTACCAGTGAGGATACTGGAACTGCGTAGTTCCACTGGGCAACGTACCAAGGATCATTAATAGAATGAAAATGTTTTTGCCCTGGAGGAGAATAATTTCTTTGGCAAATGCCCTGAGAGCTGGGTTGCCCTAAGAGCGCTGAGAGTGATCAGTCTCTTGGTGTGCCTGGTTATTATTATCCCAGCTGCACATTTCCTGGTGAATCGCTGCCAGTGGCAGGGAGGAAGAGTCTCAGTGTGAGATGTTCATTATCCTGCCCCTTCCCACTCACCTGTGACTGCACAAACCTTCCAGTGCTCACAGGAACTGCCTGCCCCATTCACCCACTGGCTGTGCAGCTGGCTCTGCAGGACGCCTGCCCCAGTTTCATTTGGCAATCCCCAGACCCAGCAAATTGTGAATCAGCAGGATGGGGGGCTGTGGTCGTGCTAAGGAACCAACTGATGGACTGAGCCAAGTTTGGTTGGTTCCTCCCTTTGCTGCTCATCTCCCAGTGCCCTGTTCCCCCCTGGACATTGAGGTGCTGGAGAGAGTCCAAAGAAGGCCAACCAAGCTGGTGAAGGCTCTGGAGAACAAGGCTTAGGAGGAGCATCTGAGGGAACTGGGGCTGTTTAGGCTGGTGAAAAGGAGGCTGAAGGGAGAGATCTTACTGGTCTCTAGAACTACCTGAGAGGAGGATGTAGCAAGGTGGTGGTCTCTTCTTCAAGTAACAAGCAATAGAACTTGTGGCTTCTGTCTGCTTCTATCTCATTTATTTATTCATATCCTGCAGGAGCCCTATTTCACACCTTTCATTGCTCTTCTAGATATTTATGTACCATCTCTTCAAATAACTGTTCACTGACCCTAGTGTTTATTACAACCCATAAGCATCAGGAGGATGGATTCAGGTTCTAACCAGTCAGATGTGGGGTTTTGGTAATTTGGGTGGCTTTCTTCTGAACTTCTTCCACTTCTGCACTTCTGTGCAGGAGGTGAGGGACTGCCTGAGCTGCACTGGGAGCAGCACCCTTCCTCTGCTGCACCAGCTGGCATTTCTTCTCTGCTTTTACACCCAAGGGCAGTAGATGGAAGGCCCAGCAAAGGCCCTTTGGGTTTCTATACCCCCAGTGCACCCGTGGCTCACAAGGCAATGGCAGTAATCCCAGCAAAATCCCAACATCCCCAGCAAAGCAGGGTGAGACCTGACATGGGGATGCAACAAAGACGCTGCTGCCGGGCTAGAGACCCTGAATCAGGTCTGGGAAAAAAATTATTTCACGCTGTGATGCGGATCACGGCTGGTGTGAAGCGTCAACCCCGAAGCTGGCAGGGCTGGGGCGAGAGGAACGGAGCCGCACAAGAGCTGCCGGGGGACG